CGTAAGGTATGTGGGAAATGGCCAGTCTTCACATATTGAAGAAACTTCGATGGTTGGGTCTAGGACTGTGTTCAATCCCAGGGTCCTTGCTCTAACTGCAGTGCTTTCTTCCTACTTAAAATTTAAAGCCCAATTAGGCATTAACTGTCTCCTTCTTTTTACTTACCAGAAGCACTTGGCCCACAGCGTTTCACAAATTGAATTTATAATCGGGAGAGTTTCTGCGGAGATCTGGACTTGCTGCTTCCACAGTGAATGGCAGTCCCCATAGCAGCCCTTAGCTGGAGGCCCCCTCACACAGGCCACAGTCGCCCATGATCAGCCCGACCTCAGAGGTTGAGGCGCGTGGTACCTGGATTCTAGGAACTTTGCCTTTAAGCATTTTTCGTATCAAGCATATGTTTCGAGGCTCATTTTCTCTCCCTAACTGCCTTCAGGGTTACAAACGCTCTTAGTTAGTCCTAGCGCGCTGGGTCTCCCCAGTGTCACGGTTCTAGTCTTTACCTAGCATCCCCTGTGAGTAGCTGGCCGATTTGAAGGTAGGTTCAGGCCACTTTGGTTTTATAAGTTTTGAATTCTCTGGTTGCTGTTTCCTTGCCCCCAAAGCCCCGGACTTTTATTCATTTACGAGACAAGAAAGCCTGGTTGGTTTTCCTCTGTGCCAGAGGTGTTTCACCTCTAACCTGATGCTCCCTAGTATAGCCTCGGCCTTCCTTCCCTTGCCCCTGGCCACTCAAAGGCTGGACCAGCTTCCTGGGCATCACCTGGGATCTGCGAGAAACGCAGAAGCTCGGGCCCCACCCCAAACCTACTTCAGAACCCTGTGTTTATCAAGGACATCCCCAGGGAGTCGAGGGCACATTCAAGTTGGAGAAACACTGCCAAAGTGAGTGGGAGGCATCGTTTGTTTCTGGGCCCTCTGTCCCTGGCTGGTATGCTGCTTCAGCCCTCCCCGGCCAGAGCAGGGCTCCCACACAGATAGCATGACCCCTCTAGCCCCGATTCTCCATCGGGAAGGAGGCAGCAGGCCAGATCGCGGTGGAGTTCACGTGTGCCCTGGTTCAGCGGACCGTTTTATACCTCGACTCTGCCAAGCTTTATTCTCCAGTTCATTTTAGACTTTCACAAAATGTTCAAATGGTTATTCAACGGGGTCGAATGTAGCCCAATAGTTTGCGAGTGGACCTTTCTCTCTCCCTCCAGCTTATATGTTCCCTCTTCTTAGCCATAAGTCAGGGATCAAGCAGGACTGTATGATGACTGTGGTTTGTGTAATCCTATGCAGCTGAGAGCTAATTTTCCTTTCCAGGAGCAAGATGAGGAAATAGCAGCCTCTCCTGGCCACACCTGAGGCGTCTGCCCAGGTGTCAGGGGTAGGTGACAGGGCTGTGTCAGCGGGAAGGGGGTCACGTGCCGCGGTGCTCCCTGAGCACAGTTCGTGGTTGTCACATTAATGATGTCGAGACGTAGCCCCAGGTTTCCAGGTGTGTCACCTACCATGTGATTTGTCTTTTCAACTGTACTTGGTCCACATCGTAACAAAGTCTACACTACAGAACTCTGGGAATATACATCTCTGTCCCAGCCCACAATGTTGAAGCATTGAAAAGTAAAAGGACAGAAGTTAGGGATTATAGAAGTACTAGAAGAAGGAGCAGCCTAAGGCACCTTCGTTTTGTTGGAAGTAGGTATAGTTTGTTGGCTAAAACAGGTCCTCTAGCACCCGACCTGTTCCTGCAGCATTGTCTTCTGCTCTCGATTCTTCCAGGAAGATGCTTTTTCTTGTCCTCTCCAAAGAGTTCAAATTAAAACTTTTAAACTCCAAACGTGGTCATGTGTAAGTATGAGTGTGTTGAAAATTACTAGGGCAATTGGGAATGACAGAGGAGAGAGGGGAGGGGCGGAAAAAAAGGAAATGAAGTGGAAAGTGGTTATAATCGCTGCCTTTCTCACATAATCCTTTCACACTGGTTTTGTTCTAGAAACTGCTCCCCAAGGTTAGATGGCTTGGAGCAAATGGGTGTGCCTGCAGGAGCCCTTCTGAGGGCATCTGCCTCCATTTACCCATTTTCACACCTTTTTTTCGAGGAAGAAATCAAACAGTGTGAAAGCAGGCCAGTGAGCTTCCTGAGGTGTGTGCCCTGGTAAATAGACCGGTGTCCGTCATTCTTGGGAGTTGAGAGTAACGATTCTTATTTAGTGTTCCAATGGCCCCAGAGCCCGCGGTCACAGACAGGGCATGCTGCAAAGTCGGGTCGGTGGCAATGTAGATATTTGGGCTTCTCTGGTCCTTGTATGATGGAATTAGAAGGGAAGATAGTCATGCAGGCCACCATGGGCTTTAAAGCCAGTTCACATTAGATGATCAGGACAACTCATCATTCAGAGGATATTTTCCCCAAGAACAGTAAATGCAGGAACCATAGTGCGGTCACGGGCCAGTAGTCCCAGATGCCATTTTGAAATTGGAAATAGCTCATTCATTTTTAGCTCCTCAGAACCACATGATTTAGAGGGAGAAAGGATCTTGGGAATCTCATCCAAGCACTTCATATCGCAGGTGAGGAGAGGAGGCCCCAGGAGAAAGGGGTATGAGCCCTGTCACCTACCACCCACTGGGCCACCTTCCCGCTTGCCTTGCGGGAGGTTTGCTTTGGTCCTTAAGCACAAAGCTGATGGGCACAAATCTCAGGCCCGTCCTTCACTCTGCCCCCAAATGTACTAACACTGTCCTATCTGTGGACACATTTGGAAGCCCCAGATGTGAAGCTGGAGCTGGAGATGTTACACACGCTGGGGAGAAACGGCCTGGCAATGGTGGGGCAACCCTGTCTCAAGCACTCTGGAAAGAACCAGTGGGGTTGCCTCTGAGCCCAGGCTCTGCTACCTGTTCTGGCTCTGAGCCTCTTAGTGAAGGGGCCCCCAGTTCACCTTCCCAGTCAGGTGGACCCAGGGTGGTGGATGAAGAAATGCAGAAGGCTCCACAGAGAACCTGCTACCCCCCTCCGGCATTTGATTCAAAATTTGTTCAAAGAAACAGTCTCACTTAATCTTCATGAGAGGGGGGAAGGAGGTGGCTTTTTCAACTAAATTGAAGTATCATAATAGAACTGCACAATTAAAGGAAGTCATTATGTAGGAATTGCCTTGGGGCTTCTCAGATCTCGCATCGGAAAATATTTTTATTAGAACAAATCCTTTTGCAGATTACCAAAATTGTCTTTTAACAAAACATGGTGATGGGTGTATTTGAGATTAAGGTTTTTTGTGTTTTTTTTTTTTTAAGATTTTATTTATTTATTTGACAGAGAGACATAGCGAGAGAGGGAACACAAGCAGGGGGAGTGGGAGAGGGAGAAGCAGGCTTCCTGCGGAGCAGGGAGCCCGATGGATGCCGGGCTCTATCCGAGGACCCAGAGACCTGAGCCGAAGGCAGATGCTTAATGACTGAGCCACCGAGGCGCCCCTGAGATTAAGTTTTTAAAAGATGATAAAGGAGAACGATCAGGCTTCCCTTCCCCCACCTCCAACCTTGTTCTTAATAGACACTTCATTTTCTTACTATGAGAGCAGATGATTTTATAGTAATACCACTCTATTTTATAAATTAGTTATTTGATGTTAGCTGAATACATTACTAATATTCCTAAGTATAACCAAAGATGCTGAAAAAGTCTGTAACCAGTTACTTTGGGATCCTGGTGTCTTCAAAAATATTCTCTGCCAGCAGTAACAGGCAGAGAGAGGAGTTGTCCTTAGAAAAATGCTACATATATTGTGTACTGAGTAGAAAGATGGCCTGTGGATTTATATTGGGAGTATTGATAAAGTTTCCTTATAGTGGTTTTGGTTGAGGGAGGGGGTGGTCAAATTGTTCAGAAAGCCGTGAATAATAAGTCCACGAATAATTAACTATTATACCAATTTTCTCTAAAGTAACATATTTAGATATGATTGACCTCTTGAGATTGTATTCTTAGTTCCCTAGGGGATTTGGGGAAATACATACCACAGAGAAACTTTCGATTTCTGCTCATTAAGTGTGAAAAATCATGGCGCACTTATACTCAAATTCTAGTTACAAGGTTAATCTAGAGGTTTTTCTAGTTTTCTTGTTGAATTAAAAAAACAAGCTTGTAGTTAACAGGAGGAACTTCATACATAGTCTCAGTTTTCAGGAGAAAGTGTTTTCAAATATATTGGCTGGCAAAAGTTAAGATAACTGAAACACGCTTTTTAAAAAATTTTTTCATCTTTGCTGCCAGTGTGCTTTCTTGCCAACATTTTCAGTTTTTGAAGAGTTAAAGAAGTGCTCGTTTCAGATGTTACCGAGAGAGACATTGGGTAGTAAGAAATCAGAAGTTTTGCTTCATTGAGAAAGAGACATATTCTAATTCACCGCTGCGTAGCCTAAAGCAGATGCCGGATTCGTAGGGACCCAGGGGCCTTCAGTGAACTGGGAACGCGGCTCTGCCAAACCCGCATTTCCACATTCAGCCAGGATTTCCTGGGTTTGATACAAGGAATGCCAACCGGGCGTGATCAAGGGGCGGATCTCACCAATGGGGAGGCGGCTGCAAGAGCCCACGCGTGGGTAAGCTCAGCCCCTCTCCGTCCCCCGAGCACCCGCGTCCAACTGCGGGCGCGCTCCGGGACCCCGGGAATCGCCGCCCAGCAGCGGCCCGGGGCCGGGGCCGGAGGGCGGCGGGCGGCCCGGCGGAGGCGGGGGCGCCGCGGGCTTTCTCTGTTGCTACAGCCGTGATGTCACTCGCCCATCCTAACCCGCGGTTGGTTGTTGTGTGTTTCAGCTCTGCCTGCAGTTGAGCACAAAGACCTGGAGGAGACTCCCACATCCTTCGGGGAGAAGAAAGGAGGCAGCTAAGCAGATTAAAGGAACTTGTGGCTTGTGGCCTTTTGGAAAGGGGGAAAGTGAATTAGAGGCCCGGTGCGAGTTAATGAGCTGTGAGATGAGGCGCCGCTGCTGCTGCTGACACCCAGGTTCCAGGCTCCGTCCGCTGCCCTTTGTGCTTCATGTACATGTGTCTATTCAGCGCATCCGGAGGCGCCCAGACCAGAATCCAACACGGCTGCCGGGGAGAGACCACCCACCATGCCCACGGAGACCCTACAGACAGGTAGCATGGTGAAGCCGGTCAGCCCCGCGGGCACCTTCACCTCGGCAGTCCCCCTGCGCATCCTCAACAAAGGGCCCGACTACTTTCGCAGGCAGGCCGAGCCCAACCCCAAAAGACTCAGCGCCGTGGAGAGGCTGGAAGCGGACAAGGCCAAGTATGTCAAGAGTCAGGAGGTCATCAACGCCAAGCAGGAGCCCGTGAAGCCGGCCGTGCTGGCCAAGCCCCCCGTGTGCCCGGCCGCCAAGCGCGCCCTGGGCAGCCCCACGCTGCGGGTGTTCGGCAGCCACGCCAAGACCGAGAGTGGCGTGCAGAGGGAGAACCTGAAGCTCGAGATCCTGAAAAACATCATCAACAGCTCCGAAGGCTCCAGCTCGGGCTCGGGGCACAAGCACAGCTCCCGGAACTGGCCGTCCCACCGGCCAGACTCCACCGACCTGCACCGGCACTCCTTCGCAGAGTCCCTGAAGGTGTACCCCACGCAGGGCCGCGGCAGCCCGCAGGAAGGCGGCTCCCACGTGGGCAGGAGGCTGCTGGAGCAGTCGGCTGAGTCCTTCCTCCACGTCTCCCACAGCTCCTCGGACATACGCAAAGTGACCAGTGTGAAGCCCCTAAAAGCGATCCCCTGCAGTAGCTCCGCCCCTCCCCTGCCTCCCAAACCCAAGGTCGCGGCCATGGCCACCGTGAAGTCCCCTGAAGCCGACCCGGTGGAACCAGCCTGCGGAGTCAGCCGGAGACCCTCGCTCCAGAGGTCTAAGTCGGACTTGAGTGACAGGTATTTCCGCGTGGACGCAGACGTGGAGAGGTTTTTTAACTACTGCGGACTGGACCCCGAAGAGCTGGAAAACCTTGGAATGGAAAACTTTGCAAGGGCTAATTCCGACATCATCTCCCTCAACTTCCGCAGCGCAAGCATGATCAGCTCAGATTGCGAACAGTCTCAGGACAGTAACAGTGACCTTAGAAATGATGACAGTGCCAATGACCGGGTGCCATATGGCATTTCTGCCATCGAAAGAAATGCTAGGATCATCAAGTGGTTATATAGTATCAAACAAGCTAGAGAGTCACAGAAGGTCTCCCACGTGTAAGACAAAGTGCGTGCAAAGGAGGGAGGGGTGGGTCTCTGTGCATCCGCAGTCGTGAAGGTTGTGAGCTTCTCCACTCTCTTTGTGTTGCTTGTTGTGCAATGTTTCCAAGTTGCATGCCTGTCAACATGGGGACTGACCTGGCTTCCACGTGAACCATCGCTGTAGAGCCTGGCTGAACACAACGTCATCTGCCAAGAGTTTCAGGCCAGAATCCGATTAGGGCTTCGATCTTAAGCAAAACTGTTTACACGAAAAACGGTATACAACTTCTTCAATATTTATGTGGTTCTTGTGTTTTTATATCCCGCGCTCTTGTGTCTTAATTAAAAGTTTTATCAATTGGCTTTTAGGTTAAGAGTAGAATCTTTTTGAAATAAAAAGCCAATTTGCCTACATGTGAGCCCGAAACAGTGGGGAAAAAATCAATGGGATCTGCTACCAAACAGATACAGTGACTGACCTAAGATAGAGAACCACGCTGGGTTTTCTGAGGAAGAAAGCGGTGAGCCTGATGTTAATCATTTGCGTATTGGAATTCTCCTGCCACTACTAAAGTAAGGGTTGGGGCAATAGTGCTACGTTTTGTGTCCAATTAAGTGTGTAAATGTTGGTGCTTCTGTGTAATACCCCAAGGAAAGACAATCAGAAACAATGAAGGTGATTAAATCTAGGAGTTTGGGGGTTGGGGGTTTTGTTGATGTTGTTCTCTGATTTGGGTTGATTCCGAAATTTCTCCTATTAATCTTTTGACGGGAATGGCCATCCTAAAGCTGATACTAAATGTCTTTATAAAAAAAAAAAGTTGTTTGTTTTTTTATCAAGAACTAATTCTATGCTGACTCTCTTCCCTCTCTCCTTCCCTCCCTGTGTTGTTGATTTATTTGGGAGAGGGGAGTGGGGCTTGTGCAGGGGTGAGCTATCCGAAGACATGAACACAAATGGAAACACCAGCCATATCGGTATAGAGCCTCCCATTCAAAAGCGAATACCTTTCGTAGCTGAACCATATCTGAGCAGTGCGATCGTGTTGTCTGGCGTATGTTATTCTCTCAGGCTGTGGACCTTTGCTACAGCTCTAGGAAACTGTAGAAACATGATGCTTCTCCACCCTTTGGTCTCTAGTGCTCCATATCGACTCGTTCCCGTTTTCCCCAGTGACCTGTCTTGCAGGTGGGTCGTTAGCTGTGGACCAGCTGACAGTGGTGTGTGGTAGCTGAGAGGTAAAAACGTGTAGCGGTCTGCTTCATTGCTCCGTACTCATGCTCTGAAGTTCTCAGCCGCACTACCTTAGACTTTATCAGCGAATGGGGAACTTTTTATGGTGTAAATGCTGTAAGACTTTGTACATACTTCAGTTGTTATGAAATCTTTAAGAAAAAAGAAAACGTTACGCTAATAAATAGCTCTGGTGCAGGCACTAATGGTGGTGGTTTCTCTTTGTCCTTTTCTTTGCACCTGCCACGAAAAGTTTAACTTTGGACTGTGAGCCAGAAGCAGATTTTTGGTAGCCTCAAAGGAACATGTTTTCATTAAATTACTTTCACCATATCACAGTTATTCGGAACAGCGATAGATAGCAGTGTGCTTTTGCTAAAATAGTTCGTCAAGGTTCCTAAAATATGCTGCCTTGTCTTTACTTAGTTCACACTTGTGGTATTTTTACCTTTTCTTAAACATCAGAATTTTTCACATCTTCCGCAAGACCTTCAGTGGTAAATATTTATGAGTTCTTACAGCGGAGACCTGCCTTTGAATGTTATTTGTACAAGCCCAACATCATTAGCATTACACGTGTTCATACATTTGTCCACTCGTTCGTTCACTCCTCTTTCAACAGGTCATTTGGTGAGTGGCCCCCTTTTTGGGCCTGACGGTAGGCACAGCACTGCTGTGGTCAACGACACACAGTCTCTGCGTCAAGGAACATAGATGCTCACCTTTAAGAGAAACAGCATTCCTCTTAGTGGACAGATCTTATCTCCTCTTATTAGGACGCTGAGTATTCAAGTTATCTATTGAATCAAGTCATTTGAAGATTAACATTGCTTCAAAAGTTCCATATACTGTGTCAATGTAAAAGAAAACATTGTTTAAAAAGCAATTTTCAGAAGCAGAAATGATAAAGATTCCCAACTATTAACTGTTTGTAACTTTTTCCTTCTGGAAATCAAATGTGGTTCCTTGACACTCTCTCTGCAGGTTTGGGAATTCTTTCTGGTTCTCTGATTAATTACCAGTTGCACTAGAACTCTACTTCCCAGAAAAAACATTTGGAAATGCAGCTTTCAGTGGTGATGACACAGTGCATGCAAGATTATAGAATGAAAATAGATTTCTTTCATTTAATTCAAAATAAGTATACACACACACACACACACACATACATATATATATTCTTCCCTCACCATTAGGGTAGAAATGTGGCCATTTGAAGTATTCATGGCTTAGCATTTATATATCCGTCTCTTTTTAGGGCTATTGAAATACCAAAAATAGATGCTATTTTTCTAAGGACACCAGTTTTTTTTTGGGAGGCGAGCACTTCTTAGCTAATTTAATATCACTGTCAATGCTGTTTTAGTCATGGATTCTGCTGAAGCTTCCAGCATTTCAAAACCATGTTTAATCTGTGTCCCACTGTAATTCAGTCTAATCCTCCATGGCCTTATTTGTACAATGGATAAATGTGAGCCTTTTGGTTCCCTTTATGGAAGGGGGGAGCTCATTATTTTCTTTTTTGTTCTTGAAATTAGAGTTTCTATAAAGGACCGTTTCAAAGGCTTAATATTAAATCCTACGAGTGAGACATTTCCTAATTGTGAAGTCCTTTTTACAAAGTGCTGATTCTGTTAGTGCATGAAAAGTATCTCATGTGTGCATTGCACGTGTGTGTGTGTGTGTGTGATGATAATGATCATGTTGGTAGGAATACAGACTTGTCATGTAGTTCAGCATACTTGTCCCCTGACACAATGTGGAGTGAAGCATGATTTCACAAGATGGCCCTAAATACTGGTTGTTTCTGAAAACCACCAAATTTAAGACAGTCCTCCCAATATCCACCCCCTCTGCCATTGTCTTAATTCAGGCTTTCATCTTCATACCTGAACTATTGTTCCTGTAACCTCCTAACTGGAGGCCCCTCAGGCCCTCCAGCCAATCTCCTTTCCCATCCTATTTCATGCCAAAGATACCATAATGCTGATCATGTCACTCCTCTATGTAAAAACATCCTCCAGCTTGAATATGTTGCTGAAAGCATAAATCCTAACTTCTTATCAGAGAATATTGGGCATTTACCTTTTAGACCCCATTTTCTGTGTCCCTAGGCCCCTAGGCTCCAAGCAGAGGAAATTTTCATTGGGAGCTTTTTGCCACCGTGTTAGTGATCTATTACTGCAAAACAAATTTCCCCAAAGCTCAGCATTAAGACAATAAATATTTATTACCTCCCTTTCTGTGGATCAGGAATCCTGGAGTGGTTTAGTCAGATGGTTCTGGCACAGGGTATCTCATTAGCTCCACACCGTGTCAGTTGGGGCTGCATCCTCTGAAGGCTTGACTGGGGCTGGAGAATCTAAGATTCCAAGATGAATCACGTGATGGTGGTAAGAGTCCTTACAACAGGGCGTCTGGCTTCCTCTAAAGAGAGTAACCCAAGAGAGACAGCAATGAGGAAGACACAGTGCCTTTTATGATCCAATAACTGAAGTCACACACCTCCGCCATGTTCAGATCATTAAAAGCATGTCACTAAATACAGCCCACACTCATGGAGAGGAGAGTTAGACCTCATCCTTTAAAGGAAGGAATATCCAAGAATTTATGGACATGTTTTAAAATCACTACTGCTGAGTTTCAGTAGCTTTTCATTCTGTGAGGAATGCTTTTTCCTTCCTCCTTGACCTTGCAGATTCCTGCTCTTTCAAGACTCAACACAACAGTCAGCCAGTGAGATTTTTGCATTTCTGTGTTGTCTTTTCCCATTACCTACTAATTTGTGTCCTGCCCATGGGCCCAGCCTTTGCTAGCTTACATGGTGCCTTTGTGTAAATTGTTAAAAGGTATACCTCCCTCAAAACAATTTATTTTCTGCCAGGTTAAAAAAAAACTGCCCTAATAATTCATAAAGCTCCAAAGATTATAATGTGAATGGTGACCCCAGAGCGGGCCAGTGCATAGCACGTCAGCCCAGAGTATATAGTAGATGCTTAATAAGTGTTGGCTAGATTTTTTTTAACCTATCACTTTTAAGTCCTGTGCTAGTTACTCTGTAAGTGTTATCAAATGAACCCAGGGGGGTAGTAACTGTCCCATTTTACAGGTGAAGAACCTCAGTTCCATGGAGGTGAAGCACCTTAACCAAGATCCCAGGGGAAGTCAGAGGCAGGATGGTACTTGAACTCAACACTGCAATTCCAGCTCTGCCCCGTCCCCCTGCCACAGCCCAGCTCAAGACAGAGAAAGGCAGACTAAAGTGTGTTGTACTTTAAAACCAAAGTGCTCTTAAATTCATCTTGTTACTTTCATCTGCTGCCTGTATATACAAACATGTCTCAAACACTCAGAATTTCAACAATTTCACTCTTACCAAAATGGTAACCAATAAAATTTAGAAAAAGATTTCAGCTGTTCCATGATGAGTAACAGAGAGCCTGCTAAGTCCCAAAGATACAAGGTTGTTGTTAGAATAATGTTCTTTCAGTTTTGAGCATGCTGTGTTTGGGAGGTACATCCTGTCTTTGTTGCCAAGGACTTTCAGAAGGGCAAACAGAGATAAATGTCTGCCCATAATTCAACATTCAGGAAACACATTTTGGCAATTTGGTGAATCAGCATCACTCCTTTCTGCTGTCCTTGAGGAGGGACGTGGTGTGTTTTGCCCAGAAGATGCACTGGGAAAGGAATAACAAGGTTAAAGATGCTCCAGAGGAACTGAATAGATTCTTAGAAAGGATGATGAATCTCACCACAATTTTGAAAATGTGAAACCCGCCTTGTCCACTTAGCCCTATAAGATGACCAAGAGTTCTATTAGCTTCCACATGGCTTCTAAGAGCTGTCCTACGAAGGACCACAGGCTCAATGGTGTTATGGTTGCCTCTGAACAAGTCACTGTCATGGAGGGTTTCTCTCATATGTTCAGCTCACATCCCCTTGCTTTGGCAGAAACCCAGCAGAAGGAAAAGCCAGAGGGAGATGGGCCTCAGCAAGCCTTTTGAAACTCCTTCCTCCAATAACAGACCCATCTGCCTAAAACGTTCCTTCCATTGGCTCATCTGTAAGACAGAAGGAAAGTTATCTGATATGTGCATTCCCTTGGCTTCAGGGCCGTGACATCACTGAGAGCTGTTTTTGGAACATTAGAATGAGGTGTGGGGTTAGCAAAAATTCAGAGAAGACTGGGTTCATGTTGTCATGGAAAGCAGGATGGCAGGCAAGGCCTGATGGGGACCAAATACTTCCCTGACTGGCATTTTACATACCAGCCGCCTGAGAGAGTTCTAGTTGGGGAAAGAAATGAAGTCTGTAAAAAGATTCTTCTCTGAATGGAAGGAATCTCCAGAAACGTGACGGGTTGTCGGAAGCGGACAGAATTGAATGTGGCCAAGTGCACACAACATAGAAACCTGTGATAATAATAATGATACATTCATTCACTAATTGGGCATTTTATTCACTCCATATTCATGAAACAACTATTAGTATGTCTTAGATGTGATGTTAAGCCCTTCATCACATTATCTCACTTTATTCTCACAAGAACTTTAAAAGTGAATGGGAATCAATTTTGTGGATGAGAGATCTGAGGCTTGAGCAACTTCTCAAAGGCACACATCCAGTAAGTGGCAAGAGTTAAATGCAAACCCATGTTAATAAAGCACATGTTAAGACTCATTCTGTAATGAATTTTTAGCTTCTAGGAGGGTGGGAGCCGTTTTCACTCCTTTGTGGTAGGTAAGATGTGCTACGCAACATTCCCCAGAAGCTAAAAACACAGTTGCGGATACTGCATTATGATTCTTCCATACAGTGAGTGACTCAAACCTATTTCTCACATTTGATCACATCAGGACTGAAGCTTCTGGGTTCGTCGGAGAGAGACATTAATGATCAGCTATCCCTCTCTATTGTATTTGACAGAGGAGGAAACAGGTGCAGAGCAAAGGAGTGGTGCGACTCTGGGCTGTAGAGCTGGTGAATCAGCTGATAGAGCTGGAACAGAGACATGAGAGCTCCACCACCCTCACGAAGGACCAGGGAACGGTGGGACTGTGCACTGCTAACAATTCCATCACATGACTTGGTTAATATATATTATTCCTGTGCGGTGTTCCTTGTCCTCAAAAACCATCAGATATTTAAAGAAACTTTAATCAGATTTTCTGTTA